TCTACAGGAAGATTTCAACTATCAAAACTCCACCCACCCCAACCTTCCATAAAAAAATATTTACTCAAAATAACTGAACATAATTGAACATATAATTGAACATATCCAGTTTTTTCAATGTCGCTATCTTGGCAGGCTTCCGACAATCATAGCACAGTTTGTCAATATCCTTTTGAAAATATATTTTCTGTAACTAGGCACAATATTCTTATGTGATCTAAATGGTGCATAAAGAAATTCTTATTTCTCTGGTTTAGAGATTATATTTTAATTTGCACCATCACTCAAATGTCTTTATTATTCCCCTTTAAGAGAAATGTCTAAACTCTTTCATCTAAAGGTCAAGGTTCTTGAGAGTCTTTCAAGCTTTTCTAAAATGATCCTCTCTCAACATTGTATTAATGGAATGCTTTGCTTTCATCAACTTATTAATGTTTTATTTACAGTGTCACAATTTACAGGAGATGCCAGGAAATTTGAGGACTCTCATAACCACTATAGTTTTCCCTGAGCCAGAACTGAAATCATATCAGACATTCCCATATCCTCCATCTAACAGAGGAGACTATGGTCCTCTCGAGTCACAAGCATGGCTTTCTGTTTGCTCTCCTTTAATCTCTATTATTTCTTCATATTGTTTACTACCCTCAGGCTTGTAGATCTCATACAGATAAGAACCTTTCTGATATATCCTTAGCCCTCCTATGAAAAGAGTCTAAACAGAAAACTTTATACAATTGCCATTTTTTACTTATGCTTAATACCCTAAAGTCTCAGGAATATTTACATTTATCTTGTGTTAAAGTCTAAGTACCTTACTTATTACACATGCCTTTTATTGATAAATGGATAAGATAGACTACTAATACTGTTTACAATCTGTATTTTTGGTATTTTTTCTAACTTAAGTTGACCTAAGGGCATTTCCTTCAGAAAATGCTTCTTTCTGTGTCACCTGTGGGCCTCACATATCTGGTTTTGGCTTTACTGGGGTAATTTTCTCCTTCCATTTCAAAATTCACTTAAATCCTTCTAGACAGATCAACAAGGTTTCCTGCCAAAGCACATCTTTCTCAATCTTTACAAGATGCACTCTGCCCCTTGCCAGAAGTCCATCATCCTGGCTTTGCAGGATATTGTCCAGAAGACTTTTAAAAACATCATTTACACAGGAAATCATTTGTTTCTCAGCCTCCCTTCTTTCTCATAGTCACCACCATCATATGGAGCAAGAGATAGAAACACCACTTGTGCTTCTGAATCTTTCAGTGTGCCACCCAGAACTTTAGCCATTAAGAATGGACTCCCAATTCTTCTGAGTTTGCTGTTTCACACAGGAAGCAGCAAAAGTGGTGGCGGGGGCGGTGGGCAATTCATAGTCTTGATAAGAAGTTCTTGGCAGGCTCTATATAATATCTTGGATATTGGCTCCGACCTCCTTTCAATTTTCCACATCAAGTCTATACAACATGACCTTAAAAACCCTTGTTTGGGAATTATCCACTATATAAAACATCTTCTTCCTGACAGTGGTCACAAGACCCCTCCCATCAGCTCATGCCAGTAACTTCTCCCTAGTGAGAGAAGGAGAAAGAGGAATGTACTCAGTCCACCCCAATGGGAAGAGTGCCAGGCAAGCTCCAAAGGGTAAGACTGTCCTTCATTTCTCTGCTGTTTCACATTCTTCCACTTGCCCACTTCATGACATTAATTTATCAGCATTTTCCTGGCTTTCTTTCTCACTATTTTTTTCCATCCTGCCTAAGAAGCTTTCATCATCTCTAAAAAACTGGAGTGTGAAAAAGTATCTACTTAATCTCTCCCCGCTCTTCCTTCTGCTTGCATTTGCAGCTGCTATAATTGGTTACCATCTCAGGCGTGACAAGAAAGATGGAACTTACTCCAAAGGTCACTACACTACCATTAGGCAGGCATATTTTTTGGATCATCAAATGAACTAAGAGTTTATCTTGGTTTCACTAGATGCACTCCTTGAAAACCCTAAACGAGTAAAGATTATGTCCCCTCTCTTACTGTGGGACTTCTTAGAGGGTTAGAATACTCTGGCTGCATGTTTTTCATTAGACTGTGAGTTCCTCAAGACAGAAACTATGCATTTGTTTTATTTTCTACAGGGCCCTACACAGAGACTTGATGGGACATGGAAACTGAGTGCAATTGTCCAATTCTGAGGATACAGGCTATCCATCTCTATGAATTATCCTATTCTACTCAACCCTACTACTCTGATAAGTTAGCTGATTATACTTTGAATATCGTTTAGGGGCAAGGTCATTAGTAGGTCCACTAAAATGTTTCTCTTTCAAATGCAAATCAAAACCACAATGAGGTACCATTACACTCCAGTCAGGATGGCTGCTATCCAAAAGTCTACAAGCAATAAATCCTGGAGAGGGTGTGGAGAAAAGGGAACCCTCTTACACTGTTGGTGGGAATGCAAATTAGTACAGCCGCTATGGAAAACATGTTTCAAGAGAACAGCATCGAAACATGTATATTATCTAGGGTGAAACAGATCACCAGCCCAGGTTGGATGCAAGAGACAAGTGCTCGGACCTAGTACACTGGGAAGACCCAGAGGGATCGGGTGGAGAGGGAGGTGGGAGGGGGGATAGGGATGGGGAACACATGTAAAACCATGGCTGATTCTTGTCAATGTATGACAAAAACCACTACAATATTGTAAAGTAATTAGCCTCCATCTAATAAAAAATAAATAAATAAATAAAAATAAAAACAGCTGCAGGAAAAAAAAATTAAAAAAATAAAATGTTTCTCTTCCATTTTATGCCTATTTTTGACCCCAAGACTCAGAATGAGGTTTTTTAAAAATGTATTCAAGGTTGAGGAAAAGCAAGGATCGGCTAGAGAAATAACTAACCAGAGATTACTGAATGAAGTACCTAATTGTGACTGTGTTTTTAATATTTCTTTAACTCTTTCTTTGAATGGTCTGTTCTTTCAAAAATGTTGCACTAGTGCTTAGCTGCTTAAACGTGACTTGTGGCTTTGAGATTTTAAAAAATATATATTTGAATGTAAATGCTTACTAATTTTTGACTAAACCAGCTTACAGAGAGTCTGGCATTTCAGATAATGAGGTCTTAAAGCAGACCATTAACAGAGTGGGCACAGCTGCTTTCTAAACCACAAGCATTTGAATACTCCCCTATTGAGTTATAGAAAATATCTCAGGACAAAATGGCAGCACCATTGCCCATTCTACCTCCTGAGCAGATATGGATGCATCTGTCCCCTGACTGCTATGCTTTTATGGGCAGCAATTCCATTCCTATGCTTGTTTATACCGCCAGTGACATTTAACATGCAACACACACACACACACACATATATAATGTGTGAATGTGTGTGTATGTATGTAATAAGTGTTTTTAAAAAATCTGATTTACTCTATGGCCTGAGTCATTTGATAAGTTTATGGGCAACTTGAGTCAAGTATCTGTCTGGACCAGAAGGGGTCTCCTGGTCCCCAGCTCTTCTATCTGAACATGGACAACCTCAGCAGCTTAGACTAGAAAGGCCTGCAGAGACACCTGTTGGTGAGTCCCCTGGCCTCGACCCCTCACTATCTGCCTGTCAGGCTGTCATGACTGAGGCTCCCTTCCTCACACAGCTCAGCTTCTACATAGGCTGTTGAAAGAGTGCCATCTGCAGGATGAAGGAGGACTTGTCTGCCATTTCTCTGCTCTTTCCTGCAGAAGGGCTTATTTCCAGGCACTGTGACAGATGAGACAGCTCTTTTCCTGCTTTGATTCAAGACAGTTTTTAAACCAGAATGTAGAAAATTGGAGCTCAGAATTCCCTTGTCATATCAGCCTTGGATCAAAAGAATAATAAAATCATGAAGCTGAAAGAGGTTTCTGTACTCAATCATGACCCTCTGTAGTGCTGCTGACCAGTGGCCCCCAGCCTCTGACTTCATACCATGTGTGATGCCCTTCGTGACTGTCTCATAACCATAACCAGCAGCCCATAACAACCAGGACCGGTTTCTAATGCTTTCACTGATTGACACTGATCTCTAACTCAGGAATTACCTAATTCTAGGTCAAATCCACTTCTCTCCTCCCAGGGGCCCTCACCTGGTTGAAAACAGAAGCAAGAAAGAGAGAGCCCTTTCCTGCCTGGACACCTCCTTCCTCATCACTTGAGCATGGTGGTCACACTGCAGAGGACAAATCAGAGCTGAGGCAGCTGGCTACCGACTGTCCATCCACCTGCCTTCATTGTGATCAGGGCTGGTTTTCCTATGTGGCTGACAAATTCTAGGATGCTAGGCAGCTTCACTGTCCACTCCTTTCCCCAGAATGGGGACAGGGAAGACATGAACAAGGATTCATTTCCAGAATATGAGACCCATCTCTAGAGGCCTATTTACAGGGCAATGATATGGTGACTACACCTGCATGTGTGTGTTTCCTTTGTGGCCCACACCCACTGCTCCCCTTCCCAGAGGAAACACTCCTCCTAAAAGCAGGAGCCTTTTGGAAGGTACAACACTCTGTTCTCTCATAAAGACACAGTCTAATCAGGAAGCAGAAGCAGGGAGAGATGGATTGTATCAAGAGATTACATGTTGGCCAGACAGGGAAAAGTAATGCCTGTGGTAGGGGAAGCCTCCCCACTCTATTTTTCTCTCTGACCTGTACTTTACACGAGCAAACTGGCAATGGATTCTACACCCAATTCCTCTACCTCAGTAAGGAGAGACAGCATGGAGTTAGTGTTATCATCCTGTACTGATACCCTGCCCAGCTACTTCTTCCCTGCCTTACTCTTTCTACTGCAACTGTCCACAGCTGACAAATATTTATTTACCATTCATCTAGTGATTCAAAACAAGGATCTCCTTGCATCAGGCAGGAAGGCAGCCCAGAATGCCTTACCAAACACCAAAGCCACAGCCCTGGTCTCCCTCTCCAGGATCCAAACACATACAACCATTCACAGCATCTCACCTGAGCCACCTCTTCAAAGTCATCATGCCTCTTCTGCAGGGCCCGAGCTCGATGCAGAGACTTCCCGACCCCTGTGTGCTTGCTGAGAAAGGCCTCGCCGTGGTTTTCAATCCAATCTAACACCTAGTCAGAGAAGGAAGACAGAAACAATGACTTCTTGGCAAAAGGAAAGACATGTGACAACATGTGTGAGCGCTCAGCTATCAGAGTCCCCATCCCAATTAGAAAGTGGCAGTCCAGGTGGAAATGTTCAATCCATGATAGACACAGGGATTTCATTACTGTCATTGGCAATATAACAATCCCACCCTTAACTTAGTTCAGCTCTTCCTCTTTGATCTCCAGAATATCCTTTCATTACTTGTTCAGTTTTCTCAGCCTTAATAAGCCCATTATTTTAAACAAGCTATATAGACCGCCAGACACAGATTAACCCTCTCACAACTTTGACTCCAACCATAAAGTCAGACACATTTGCAGGAAATTAGGCAGTAATCCCTGGGTCAGAAAGATCCCCTGGAGTAGGAAATGGTAACCCACTCTAGCATTCTTGCCTAGAAAATTCCACGGACAGAGGTGCCTGCCAGACTACAGTTCATGGGGCCACAGAAGAGTTAGACATCACTGAACCACTGAGCACACACACACACAGGCAGTGTCAGGTCAGGGCAGTTCCTTGGCTCTCACTCCACCATAAAAATGCTCATGGAAGTGGCACCAAGTCATGGGTACCCTGTCTCATTGCTCTCCTAGGACTGCTTCCCTAATTCTGGAGGTAAAGTCCAGAGTAGTCAATCCCCAACTGGAACTGTACTAAAGATAGCCAATCACCAGGACAGTTGTGGTCTCTGGCTTCTTTTCATCTTTCTCCTCCAATCAGCATCAACCAATCAACCAAATAAAGTAAGGTCTTTAGTATCGCTGATGCTCTTGGGTGGCAGTAGAGACTCCATGTTCTCCAGACTTAAGGTCTAGTGATTGGCCTCAAGACATTTTCCCTGGAGTAGAGGGCAGCTGAAAAAGAGGTGACTGAAGCAGTAGAGGGATGGGTGAGGGAATGCTGAGAAGGTGAGAAAATATGTTGTCCTGAGGGGCACTTGACAGGAGGAGTGGATACCCCTTAGTAAAACTCTTGAAATATAGGTAGGATCAAAGCCTGGAGTCCATTTTGCATTTGTCCACATAGCCTAACAAAAATGTGGCTCTCCCAGGGAGAAGGGAAGCAGTTCATCTGGGCTCCGAGAAGTTGGCACTCAATAAATCAAATGGCCACAATTAAATCAGAATTACAGGACAGACACACCTGTTGCAGATCCTGCCAAGATCCAACTAATTTGACTCTACTACTAGAGTAAACTTCAACTAAACATTTGATTAATGAGGTACTAGCTTTCTCAGATTTTAGAAGGACTTTTGGGAAAATGATTTAGATGAACTAGCCCTGTTTAAAAGGGTACTTTAGTTCTGTTTCTTTTACAGATGGTCCTGTGGTAAGCAGAGAGACCAAATCGTTGCCTGGATTGCAGGCATGGCAGTTCTGGTTCTACAGAATCTAGCCTTTGGTTTCACATCCTCTGACATTTGAGATAAATTAATGTCTGCAACTGTATGAAGTATGGAAACTTTCAAAGTCTTCAGTGGCAGTATCATAAAGTCATACCAAGATGGTATCAGAGAAAAGCACATATAAATATAAAAATGAGGTTTAACAAAAGTGCATGGTACAAAGCCAAGTCAGGTAATTATCCATGAAAAAGAAGGGGAAAAAAAGCCTTTTCGAAAATGACTTTATCTAAACACTTAGTGTAAAGAGCTTAAACACTTTAGCAAAAAGAATTTATTTATATATAACACAGGGAATTATATTCAATATCTTGTAATAATCAATAATGGAAAGGAATCTGAAAATATATATATATAAAACTGAATCAATTTGCTGTACACCTGACTCCAACACAATATTGTAAATCAACTATACTTCAATCAAAAGAAAATTTTAAACACTAACAAAAATCTAAAAATACTTTTTAATATTCTGGAAGCACATCTGCAGAAAGAAATTGCAATAGTAAGTGAACTTAATTTTTAACCTTTTGCAAACACTGAAAGGAATTTTAAATATCCCTTTCTCAGAATAAAGAAGAGCCTACTTTTCCTTTGAGTTACTTACGGTGATATTTCAGCAACAAAAATCAGGAGAGTGCATTTTTACTTGACTTACCACAATTTGATCCCACATTCTTACAGTAAAATGGATGATGGGTATTAGCATGCAAAGCCAAAGATAAACATTTCTAGTCACAAATTTTCCCATATATTGTGTACCATGGCTGGTGTAACTTTATAATTTTTTTGCATATTTAAGCTTTCATTAATCCCCTTTTGAGAATGAACTGAAGCTTGGAGATAATTTTTACATACAAAAGAGCTGTCTTGTAGCTTTTCATGAGTGCTTTGGAATTTATGACGTATTTTCAGATCATAACTTTAAAAAAAAATTTTGTTCTGAGTAGTTAAGTGTGATCTACTTCTCTGGCACTTTTTTCATTAATTTTATTTTGTTCCTTTTCATTTTCAATCTCTAAAATTTCAATCTCTTTCATTTTCAATAAATATTCTAAATAATACTCTAAGACAAATTGGTTAGAGAGAAATGTTTTGCATGTACTAGTTCACAAATGGTTCCCTTTTATACTCCCTGGGGGTGCTTTCACAAGTTTTAAACAGTTTTTTTTTTAAGCAATTTGTTTTATTTTGCTTTCTTTAAAATGTCAATTCATTTTCTGTTAGTGACACCTAGTTTACTTAATTAGCTCTACTTTAACCACTTAAAAGCCTATTTCATATTTAAGAGGCTTTTACTTAGTTTAAACATAACTTTGCTCTGTGATGTTACATTGTCTCCATTTAGTCTAACTTCTGCCATTAGAACTGGAGCTGTGGGGAAAACAGTGTAACCTCAATGTGGATTCAGAAGCTTCAGGGAAATCAATTTAACAAATATAAAAGCAAAAGATTTAGGAAGTGAATAAAATTACTTTAGTAATACACAGAGACTGAAAAAGTACCTGAGGACAGATGAACGTAATCAATGAATTGTTCAAAATGATAATTTCTGACGATTTTGTTTCAGACTGTTCATAAGCTCTCTTGACCTTTGATTTCATGGTCCCCAACCCTAGGGATATAGGGTTTTAACATGGACTGCATAGCAGAGAAATGTGCTTGTGAGCAGACACCAGCAGTGCCTGACAATTAGTGACACACTGTAAATTAATGTGCAGCATCGGAAGTCCAGTGAGACCCAGAACCTGAACATCACTGGGTGAAGAATAAATTAAGTTTCTAGCCTCACCCTGGACCCTATCAAAGTGTAAGCACCCATCAAGGTACCCCTTATTTGTGCCCCTTTATTTAATTTCTCTCATCTACAAGATCCTATTTAAAATAGTCAATTCTCAGGATACAGGATGATAGGTAATGATACTATTGATGGTTTTGAATTGGTTTTTAACAATAGGAGGTTTTCCTTTTATTTTTGGTCTGAAGGAAGGGTCTTCTGGATACAGAGAAGCATGTGTGGGATATGGCTATTCACATACTCTAATAAATATATATTGTTAGTCTCATGGTGGCCTGGTGCTAGGCCAGAGGACAGCCCAAGGTGCAGGATGGCCCTGACTCTAGGAACTCAGTCTAGGTGGGTAATGAGCACTAGATATGAAACCACACAATTCATCATTAATTGCAAGGGTGAAAAGTGCCAACAGTCAGGGAAGCTCACTCTGAAGAAATGAGGTTTAGCTGAGACCTGAGAGACAGTAGGATTTAACCAAGTTAGCAACTGAAAAGATCAGCATGGCTTAAGTAGGCTTTAGTAGGAAATGCGCCCAGAGAAGGCAGGCACCAGATAGAGCTAAGCCTTGGTGGGCTGAGCTCCCTTCCAGTGTTTGGCCTAAGAGCCACTGAAGGGCTAAAGGAGGAGAACGACACCATCAGATTTGATTTAAAAATTATTGCTCTGACTGCTTTGTGGAGAGTCAATTGGACAAAGGCAGGAACACAGTAGGAAAACAGGAAGCTTCTACAGAAATCCTGACAAGAGGCAATAATAGCTCAGATGAGGCCAATGGCAGTGTTTGTGAGGAGACAGGTTTGAGTAATATCTTCCCTGGTGGCTTAGAGGTTAAAGCATCTGCCTGCAATGTGGAAGACCTGGGTTTGATCCCTGAGTTGGGAAGATCCCCTGGAGAAGGAAATGGCAACCCACTCCAGTATTCTTGCCTGGAGAATCCCATGGATGGAGGAGCCTGGTGGTTTACAGTTCACGGGGTCACAAAGAGTCGGACACGACTGAGCGACTTCACTTACTTACTTACTTATGGCTAGGATTTGGTGACTGGGCATGGAAGTGATGAAGAAGCAGGTGGAAGGTTAATCCCTCCAGGAGAAAGGCTTGAAAAACTGGGTGGAAGAGGAACTTGTCACTGGTGCAGAAGCAAGTGAGTCACAAGGGATAGCAGATGACAGATTTTTTCATGTTTTCTTTCAATTTTCATACTCACATTCTGGTTTTGATAAATGACAGGTGTGCATCTGAACTTGAGTGGGAAGTAGCACCCAATGATAGTTCTCAATCTGATTCTGGCAAGATGTGCCTTTAACTTCAAAGGAGTAATTTTATACACAAAGGTTTAAAAATAAATTATAAATTGTTAATATAGCTGGATCCTAATGACAAAAAAAATTAGGGATATGAAATCCATCTGAAGAATTATAAATTTAGGCTTACATAAAATTAACCCTTGCATTCCTGAAGGCATTTCACTGGGGTATAATTTTTGGTAATGGTGGTTTAGTTGTTTAGTCGTGTCCAACTCTTGCTATCCCATGGACTGTAGCCCACCAGGCTCCTCTGTCCATGGGATTCTCCAGGCAAGAATACTGGAGTGGGTTGCCATTTCCTTCTCCAGGGGATCTTCCTGACCAAGGAATCGAACCCAGGTCTCCTGCACTGCAGGCAGATGATTTTTACCAACTGAGCTATGAGGGAAGCGTTAACACGACATGTGAAGTCCTCTGTGACCAGCCCCACCCCCTCCAAACCCCACCTCCAATGAATT